GGCTGCCGATTCATCAGCGCCAAGAAGACCCAGCGCGCCTCCCCTACCCTCATCTCCGCCGCCCGCCGCCTCCTGGCCACCGCCCTCCTCGACGACCCCTCCAATTCCTATTTCGCCCTCGTCTCCCAGTACTGCATCCCTCTACATTCCTTCACGTACATGTACGGTACTCTCTTCCCCAAATCCTCGTCAACCTTGTTCCCCAGCTTCATCGAGATCTCGTCCGATCAGCCCGTGCTTTGGGACAGGTACATCGCCAGGGGCGAAAACGTGATGCTGCCCGAGGTGCCTTTCGACCGGTTCCGTGCCGGGTCGCAGTTCTTCGTTCTGGCCCGGCAGCATGCGCTGGTTGTTGTGAGGGACAGGAGATTGTGGCGAAAGTTCAGGCTGCCGTGCTTGAATCAGGATTCGTGCTACCCGGAGGAGCATTATTTTCCTACGCTGCTGTCAATGGAAGATCCAGATGGATGCACTCATTACACGCTGACCAGGGTTAATTGGACGGGTAGTGTTGGTGGGCACCCGCATATGTACAGGCCAGAAGAGCTTTCGCCCAGTCTTATCTATGAGCTGCGCTTGTCGAATTCGAGCTATTCGTTTATGTTTGCGAGGAAGTTCTCGCCTGATTGCTTGCAACCGTTGCTGGATATCGCGGGGAAAGTCATTTTTCAGGATTGAAATTGACCCGAGTAAGAATATAATCATTAATCATTCTTACATTCAAGTTCATTTTTGTTTGCTTTGGCCCGTTTTTTTGTCACTGTTGGTAATATCAAAGACCTCTTTTTGTCAACTTTGAGTAGCCATTATTTTGCATTTACTCTTGTCAACCTCTTATCTTATTCAGGTCCAGTGTTTTGGAGAGAATCTCCAAATAAGGAACCGGGACAATGATAAATGCCAGCAAAGGCAGAGGGAATCAGGTTTTGCTGTTGTTTGTTCGTAAATCAACATGTCGTGTTATCGTGTTTGTACATAAAAGCGAATGTCTTAGAATTCGAAGGCTGAATGGAGGTTTTGTTGTGTGGTGGAGGTGCAGCGGTGGAGTAGAGGCTTATAGTGGAGTCCCGGCGTGCAAAGTAAAACAAATATACCAAAAGGCTCGTTGTTTTCTTCCATGTTTTTCGATTTTGTTTTGAACAAAATGAGTCCATCGTCTCCCATTTGCTTCTCCCCTGCCACCCTAGATAGAAATTGTGTATTTGTTTCTAATTTTATCACACTTTTTGTGAGATGCCATGGCAAAGTGATTGTTGGTGTTATGTACAACTGTACAAGGTTCTTCTTAGGTTTTAACAGGTGAACTGAGGGGGGAAAAAAAACTCACATTTATTTATAAATATAATGGTATGTTTATTTTAGCTGTTTTTTAAAATAATTTTGGGCTAAAAGTTTTGATATTTTTCATTGTTTTCAAGTCTATGAGGCATGTATCTATAGTAGTACCTTGATGGGATGGTGTTAACCATTAACAAAATGGATGAGGCTTCAACTTTCAACTTAAACTAAGAAGTCTTTCATGTTCACTCCTCTCTGAATAATCGACCATGAACAACAGAGAGGCTAAAATAACATTCGAGACGAACTGGTCATATATAAGAACTACTTGCAGAATAAAACATGGGTGATACTGGCAAAGGGTTACCGTACATGAATAAAGAACACGGCTCACCTAATAATATTTCCTTAGTTCTGTTTGTTTGAATTAAAGTCTCCCATTGATTTGACATACTCGAGAAATGTAGAGGATCGACTTTAGACGATCAGGCTTCCAGAGTTTCTTGGTTGTTTGCATTAACAAACGAGCCAACAGTTTTGAACCAACGCATGAGATTCCTGTGATCTTTCACATAGAGCCAAGCTTGCAAAAATGGGAACAGCTTCTCGTTTATGCCACGTGCTTCTATGTAGCCATGGAGTGCATCTCGAACCTTCTCATCAATATCTCTGTCAGTTGTTAAATGCACAGAGGTAATCAGTTTAGAAACTGTAAGTGGAGTTGATCGACAAATTTCAAGGGAAGTAACATGAAATGCGTATAAAGTTTCTGGTTGACATATATTGAAGTGGAAGCAACAGTAATGCAGTAACGCCACCAGCTTCGCTTATATTGAAGTGGAAGCAACCGTAATGCAGCAACGCCACCAGCTTCGCGAATATACCAAAAAATAACTGTCTTCCAAAAAATTTTAACATGAAATCATAGTATGATATTAACAACTATAATTTTTTTAAAAATGTGCAGATGGAAGCCAATGAAGTTACACCTTGCCTTTTTCCTCCAGAGTCCATATGAAGGCATGTTTCTTGCCTTTCACAGTTGAGTTCAGCTTTTTCAAATTTACAACTCATTTTAATATGAACATATACTACACAATATGGTGACAGGAAAAACTGTCTATATTGATTTTTTCATCTCCTACTCTAGCAAAAAACCCAATAAGACCACCTTTAATTTGGAGGATTAAAACTTATGTCATGGTTAATTTGTTAAGCGGGTATTTCTCCAGTTAATAAGCATTTAATTCTAGAAAATAGTGCTAGTCGCTGGTTACCAATATAAACCTACTTTTTGGTCACCTAGCTTCTCATAGGAAAATTATAAACCTCTCTGTTTATCCATGGCAGCAGAAATGGTGGCTTTAAAAACGAGGAAACAAATAGCGTCACTCTTCCAACACAAACACAAACATTCTCACACAAAAGAGAGAGATAAGTGGAGAGAAAACTGAAAAACTAAATAAGTAAATAGAAACATATAATGCATTATGACACTTCATTGCCGTCACACATGTGTTACCCCCTCCCCACGTATGCCTTATATATTCAACTCTATCATCTTGTTTGATTCAATTATCTCATCATACCAAGTCCCCTATCATGGAAATTGATTGTGATCCTTTTTCTTGTACTGTGGATGTCGTTTAATACTAATGGCATCTATAAATAGCATTATAGTTTCAACAAGGTCTGCTAGCATAGCACCAAAATTGTGCACTCCCTATGGTCTTGTCCTGGACTACATAAGTATCAATGTTGCCCGGTTATCCTAACACAAATCCAATAGGAGCTTGTAATGACGGGGTTTAAACAATTCTCTCCATTGATGACCTCGCCAAAGTTTCATATACTATTTTATCAATAAAACTGCAAAAGAAAATGAATTCTAAATGTGCGATAGAATATGTTCATTCAAAAATCTCTAATTATTCAAGGTGTACCTACTGGTAAAGCTACCTGTTCAATTTGTGTGTGACATTTGATGAGGATATAATATTGTATTGTAACCTGTTGACGGCGTTTTCGTCAACTGAACCACCACTATTGTTTAGGGTGTGATTAGTGCATTAAGATAAACGAAATGTGGAAATAGATACGGGAAAAGAAATTAGAAGATAAGACGGGTCAACGAATTGATGCGCCGGGGGATCTTATTTGAGGATTAAGGCCGCTCCCAGGCCCCTTTATAAAAAGAGCCTATTGAAGGCCATTTCTAACTTGAAAAGTAAGCCTAGTAATTGCTATTCGTGAATGTACTTTTGATGTATTTTCGGGTGTCCCCTTCCAAGCCTCGTGACCCTGCTATTTATAGAAGAGGGTAGACCTTTAAAATATAATATATCGAGGATAGGTTGTGGACACCCAAAGGTCAGCTACATGCAGAGCTCCACGCGTCCCCCACAACTTACTTAAGTGGCTTATCTCTTTGGGCGATGTGAATCGGTTTACAACGGCAAACTTTTTCACACCAGTATTTAGCCGAGATCACGGTGAAGGAAGTTCCATTGCTTCTGACTTACGTGGCGAGGTAAATTTTTGTGTTATGGTGACGTAGACCTGACACACATATGGCTTGGAGTGAGATCAACGGGAAAGGGAGAGATCTAAGGAAATAAAGGACACAATGCTTTTTTCTCGGCAATAGGAAGCCTAGTGTGTGCAATGCAGTAAATTATTCCTTATATCTATTATTTTTGTGGACATAGTTAGTAGATATCGGAGTAATCCTAGAATGGGCGCATTGGTTCGTTTGGTAAACCAACATATTATCCTTAGTCCAGTTGCAGTTTGACTACATGTAAACGGCTCAAGGAGTGGCTTCTTGGTCTGAGTTGATTTACACTCGTACCTTGGTGTCGCCATCATACTCTGGGTCATTAGGATATGGCCTTTTTACAAGTCGTCGCTATTTAGAAGGCTTAACCCAGATAGGCAGATTTTGGGGATTTTGTGTATAACAGCCCTAGGTTCTTTGGATAGAAGGTACTTTGGATGATCGTAAGAATCTATTTGAATTCTTTTTGCCGGTTTGGGGATGAACCTTGATTGGGAAGTCGGTGACGGTGTTAGGAGTGGGTTTCGAACGGTCAACCAATGTTTAGTGGGATAAAGGCCCTTTATTTAGGGATATAAAGGTTGCACCTTTTGGACGATAATTATGACGGTTTCCAGTGTGTGTGGAAAAGCACGCCCCTCCAATGGCAGTATGCCACGTATTGGAATCTGAACCGTTTGGCGTGCAAAGGGTCACCTCTTTCCCGAAACATCTCGTCAGCGCATTAAATGATGGTGGCGCATGGGTCAAGGAGGATATCCAAGGGTGTGTATACAAGGAAAGACATGTCTTCCCTTTCCCCATCGACAAAATTTCACCCACAGTCTTTTTCGGAGAGAGATAATTTGCTCGAGTTGCTTCATTGGGAGTTGTACGTTCTTTAATAAAGAGACGAAAGTAGATTTTCGCTGATTTGAAGAAAAAGGTCGCCCAGAGCATACAACTCATAGCTGCAGCGCCAGTGTAGAGGGAAGTCCCTCAGGTTTAAGCATGGAGACCTGAAATGGCGCCTCGGAGAGGGAGGCTGAGGAGGGTAGTCAACCTGTTGAGTCTCCTCTCGTTTGCGAGGAAACCTATATACTAAAGCCGAGGTGGAGAAGATATCGCCTCCTTCTATATAGAGGAGGTGATGTTAGCTGACTTGTTGTCGGAGGAGGTGCAGCAGTGGCAGCAAGGGGCCAAGGTGGTTGAAGAACCCTTCTCGACCCGTGGAGTCTCCTCTCGAGGCGGCTTTGGGAGGAAACTTATATGTTAAAGTCGTGGTGAAGAACATATTGCCCCCTTCTATAGAGGAGGTGATGTTAGCTGACTTGCTGTCGGAGAATGTGAAGGAGGTGCAGCAGTGGCAGCAAGGGGGCAAGGTAGTTGAAGAACCCTTTCCTCAATCGTCGTATGCTGCAGGGTCAGTTATGAGACCCGAGGTGATGAGGATGTCGGCTTGTGCTTGCTTCCAGAACAATGGAGGCTACATCGGCCGCCGGAAGGGAGGCTTCTCTCGTAAAGCTTGTCCGTGAGGCACCGTCTCAGGACCCACCGATGGTCGCATTGGCATTTGTGACGAGTTGGCAGTAATCCTTGTTGAGCGAGGTTGAGGC